TATACGTATATACCAGCACGCTTAGCCGACACTGGCGTATCGCGTGTCTCTCGAGAGCGAAAAGGAATAAAAAATAAAAAGTAAAAGGTCTGAGGAATATCCCCATCGGCTGTCGGGAACGTGGCTGAAGCCGATCGATTAACGTCGCCGAGCGTGCACCTACGTAAATGCATCTCTATTGGATTTTTCTATATCGGCGCCCGGACGACTGCACGACTGTCTATTCGCACGAGGACTGGAACTACGGGGGATCATCTGCCAGAGAGATTACGGAGATAAGCTCCTTCGCGTTTGTCTATCCGTATATTTTCGTCAGCTCGCCAGGACAATAACGTCCTAGATAGAGACTACCGATGCACAGCGTATACTGTATATATTCAATTCCATCTATACAGATATAGTCCCTGTACGTACACTGTCAGTCCTGAGCCATACCAGCCCCCCGATCGACCTATCCACTGCGGCTCCTCGGGTATGCTCTCACGACAACTAGATGGGGTATGGGAATATGTACGAGGGTGAGAGAAAGCGTGCAGTGAGAGGGAGAGAGAGAGAGAGAGAGAACGTGGGCGAGATGTGAATGGGCCTTTATCCCGGTTGGCAGCCGCCGTTTCGAGCCCGGCGAGAGTGGATTATGCATCGGGCTGCTGCAACGGGAATAGGAAGCGATTGGGAAATTTTGCTATAGTACAGTCAGCGGGTATAGTATAGGTATCGAAGAGTCAGAGAGGATCGGCAGATCGAGGGAGAGCGAGCATATAGGGGTAACGTTGGGCAGTGCACGTAGTATAGACGGGAGTCAGTACGTGAAAGAGAGAGAGAGAGAGAGAGAGCGTATCGAAGCTTAAGGTCGGTTCCTATGTGCGTTAAACGCATGCACACAATTCTTTCGTCGTACAATGACGTCGCCGTGGTGGTATTACTCTTTTAAAAATGCAACGGGGGGACTCTCCGTCATTCAGGGTAGACTCAACGATTAGCTTACTCCCGGAGTACCGTCGTCTACGGGCACAGGAGCCCGACGACGTGCTGCCATCCAGAGCGAGACAATGAAAATGCAAGCAAACCCTTCTGAATTGAGTTCCACCTATCCAACCTTGACAACCCCCTAACGTTGGCCCGCCTCGAGATCTTGCCACCCTCTATACGCCACTCTGACACTCCACTGGCTCTATAGCCCGCTCCACTCGTTCCGGTGACTCCGGTGCATTGCTAATTCACCATGGAAAATTACCCGTCTTTTATTCCCGGTCTGGATTCTGGCACGAAGGTTATACAATTTATTTTTCCTGCAAATCTGAAGGGACGACTAATTCTTTATATGCTTTACATGGGAATCGGCGATACGGTTACGAATTTTTAAAATTACTCGTAAATTTCTTTGGCATTCATCGCGGCCGGGATTGTTGTTATTATCATCGACAAGTAAATACCGTAATTCAGGTACGAGGAAAATTTGGCTTTGCGATCAATTAACAGACAGAAGGGGATAGATCGTGGAGAGCGAGGAGTTCCTGACTCAAGGGGTTTAATCGTGTTCTCTGTTATTTCGCAGGAATAACGCCGAGCGTGCATCAGCACATTTTCCTACGGCCGAGCCCTCGTCCCCGGACACTGTTTTATCGCTTCGACGATATTATCCGGTAATCCTTCAAGCGTAATACGCTTAAGGAGAGAAGTATAGTCGACTTCGTGAAATCTGCTTAGTCCAGCCACGTGGCCAAACTTCATATCCTTCCCTGGCCATGAGAAACTCTATGGCCCGGCCATGAGCGTATCTTACGAGACTCGCGTTATCCTTATAAATATATATATATATATATATATATATATATATATTCAATTCTGAACGGTATAACTACGAGAAACAGGACGCCGCTGCGATCGCTGAAGTGAACCAATAATTATTATGTATTATATTTTTGTACAGAACGTAGACAACTTTTTTTTGACAATTCGCCAAACAAATTGTCACTGTCTAGCAAGATCCGGACCCCCTAAGCACCCTTGACGTGTATATAAAAATATTCACGGTCTCGAATATTATTTTTGGTTAGGTGCCAACGTCATGAATGAATCGAGTATAGGGTATGGCCTGTGAGCGGGGGTGCGATCTCGTGACGCGCAAGTAATACATACAACCCCTGTTCTCATGCCGAACAACTTCCTATCCATTGTCGAGCTTCGAAGCTGCTGGTCGTAGTTGCTACCGGTGATACTGACGTTGCTGCCGATCGTGATAATGGAGGGGTGTCAAGGGGGTGGTACAGCGGCAACGTGACTGCGAGATGTTATTTTTGTTGTCTTAACAAAAGGTCTCCTTGCCTTATTATTAACCCCTGGCGCGCGAGAGGCTTTGAAAATAATGCGGGATATGGGGTAGCGGGACGGGCCGGAGGGGACGGAAGGAATTCAAGACGAAGGAAAAAATTCAGCATGGCCCCGACTACGTCGAGCCGTGCTGCGCCGGTCTCTGAAGTACATCCTGTCTTTGTAAGGGCTGCGCCGTGGATGCATCCAGGGGTTGGTTGGATCGCTGCGAAATTTTCAGGAACTTGCCGAAAAGGGGCAAGAGAAAAGGTATATAAATATACGTGTCTGTGAGACAGGATAGAACCGTGGATATAACGTATATAGGTATATTTCTCGTTGTGTTCGTTCTTGTACGAATTTTTTTTTCAACGAGAAAGAGAGAGAGGAACAGTGCGAGAATCAAATGGTAGGGATAAAGAAAAACGAAAAATCACCCCCCCCCCAAAGTTCATTATTTGGGGGGGGAGGGGAGACTTCGGTTTGATGAAAAATATCGAGAACGGATAAAAAAATTCTGCCTTAATTATTCGACGGTATTTTTTTTTTGACATAGTCATATCTTTTTAAACTTCGTTCTCGCTAACAAGAATACTTTTGGCGAATCAAAGAACCGTAAGGGCAAGTTTCCACGTTCACGCCTGCTGCCGTGCTCCCTACTGGCCACTACGTACATAAGAAACGAACGATGAAAGAGACAGCGAGCAAGCTTATTGATGCTCGCGAATATATTCCCGCGGTTCGGTTTTTTCGAATTTAAGTTTTTCCCATGTAAATTACCCATGAGCCACTTATCACGTGCGAAAATTTCTATGGGACTTCCATTAAGTATCATTCGCCGCCGGTGCATCCAGTCGCGCGAATACTTAGTACAATTTACCTTTTTCCCAATAATTCGTCCCCACTTAATCGTCCATCGTTTGAACTCACGTGAATCCCAGAGTTACGAGACACGCGGTATAGCTTAACCAGAAGCGCGCGTTGTATGCGTCTGGCCCATGGCATTGGCACTCGCGTAATGTCTCTCCTCTTCGTCGCTCACGCTTGAAGCGCCCGGACAGGGAAGACCGAGAGAATCGAGACGAGGATTGCGAAGGGCTAAACATAAAGGAAAAACGTACACGGAGAAGCCGAGTCGTCGCTTCGACGACTCGAGACTTTCCTCGCGTCATGTAAACTGTCTCCCGACTTGCCTATACCTTAGCATTGGAAGGCAGCGCGCGGGAGTCTCAGGTGTATACGATAAAAAAAGAAAAAGGACGATATCCATGTAGCAGGGCGAAGCCAGGAAAAAAAAAAAGTTGGAAGAAAAGAAACCGAGAGAAAAAAGGAGAGGCTCGATGAGGAGGGGGGGGGGGGGGGGGGGAAAAAGAAAA